TCCTGGTTCCTTCAACTCTCGCCCCAAGCTAGCCGAGCAGCTGCGCTCCAGAGCGCATAGAATGATTCCAGCAGGCGAGGGTTCCGAATGTCGGTTGGTCTGTAATACCTGTTGCTCTGCTAGTTCTGTCAACTCTTAGGGTAGTATCCCGTCCCAGGAGTTCCTGCCTTCCCCGTGCAAGGCTGCCGTACCCAGAGCTGGGCAGGAAGGAGCCAGGCAGCTGAGTAACGTGTGCACCGGGGCCAGGTATGTCGGCCACTCTCACAGCATGGTTCTCTCCGCCAAAGGCAACTACAGATGTTCGACGTGCAGCAGCCACGCCACGCGCAGCGCTCAGCATCTTCGCGAAGAGTGTAAGAAGGCCTCCCCAGCTGGCAATGCCTACGTAAGGGGAGGTTGAGTTTTCTCCCCTGCCTCCCTTGCTTGAAAGGCTGGCCCTTCCCACGTTTTTGAAACTGACCACTGGTCAACTGCGGGGTCCTCCTCCTCCTCCTCCTCCTCCTCCTCCTCCTCCTCCTCCTCCTCCTCCTCCTCCTCCTCCTCCTCCTCCTCCTCCCTCCTCCTCGCCCATGGCCCAAATGCCAGAGCCCCTGGTGAGCCAAAAGAAGTCCTTAGACTAGATCACCTCATTCCGCGCACCGCACCCCCGCGATGCGCGACGCGCGGACCTCGTCGCGCCGCCGCGCACCCGCACCGCCCCCCATTGGAGAAGTGCAGCCGCTCCCGCCCGGACCTGGACGCGGGACGCGCGAGCCTCGTCGCGCCCCCGCGGGCGACCTGCCTACACTTCAGCCCTGCACTGCACCCCTGCGGGTGCCCCGGCTTCTCCGAGCCACGGGGCTCGGCTTGCACACAGAAACTCGGGCATCGGCTGATCGGGAGGCCGATCGGGCCGATCGGCCGATCGGGAGGGCTGGGTCTCCAACGGCCGATCGGGATGATCCGGGCAACCCCAGAAAACGCCCTCGGCAGGGCGCAGCGGATGGGACGCATCCCGAGGCAGGCTCGCCTCCAGGAACCGACGAGAACCCACGAGCGGCAAGCATGTCTGTACCTATACGGCTTCCCTTCCGGTGATAAGGAGGTTGGGGGGTAATGCGATGGGTGTGATGACGACGATGCTGGTGACGCGCCCTCGAGTTATCCACGACGCGCGATGGCGATGTTGCGCCGCGATGTAATGTCACTATCGTCCCCGCTTTCGATCTCACTCGATCGATCCCACTATCGACATCACGCCCAGTCTTAGTACCAATGGATTCGGCGATCGATCCCATTGTGCTCGCCCCAGGGTAGATCGCCTGTCCCCGCGAGATCTGCACGACCCAGGAGACGTCGCCTCCCTGCGCGTCCGACAGCGCGAGCACAACCAATGTCACAATCAACCTCACTGTCGATCGCACTGTTGATCTCACGAACCATCCCGTTGTAGCGATCTTATCATCGAGCTCACTACCGACTTCAATACCTGCACCAAGGCGGGACACACCCGGCCAGCGCCCGCACACCGCCGACGGAACACCGACGGGACACCCATCGATGGGACATCAACGGGACACCACAGGACACCACGGCGGGACACCCTGAGCCACTTCGCGCCCACCGGGGGCCCGAAGGGCGGTCCACTGCATCCGAATCGCCCCAGCGACGGCAGGGTCACTCCCCTCGCGCGCCCACGCAGCTTCGCCTCGCCCGCACGCACGACGCGAATACGCAACCGAAACCGACTTCCCTGTGAGGAGCTCTCCGTTCCACTGCGATCTCACCCCCCCAGCCTCCCGATCCACGCCCTCGCGGTCTGGATTCCGGGGCTCGGTCACGTGGACACGCGGTCGCATGGCCACGTTCCGCGCGGGACCTCCGCGAGAAAGCGCCCCATACCCCAGGGGGTCGCGGCCCAGGGGCCCAGCCCGCAAGGCCATGGACGTTTTCCCGCCCGCGAAGAATTACCAGCCTCGAACGTATCCCTATCCCTAAGATTGACACGCCACAAGGCGATGACAATCTTAGGGATTCGCCTTCAAAAACTAAGGGAATCCCTAAGATTGGCATCGTGATGAGGAGGTGCCCAGCATAGGGATAGGGATATGTTCCAGGCTGGTAAAAGAACCTTCGCCGACAACGGCGCCCCTGCGGGTGACCACAGCCTCCCCGAGCGCTCGGCACCACGACGGCTGGGAGCAGGGCCAGTCGAGACCACGGCGGCTCTCCCGCCCAGCCCAACTCCCCTCAACATCGCTGCCCGGACGAGGAGGAGGAGGAGGAGGAAGAGGAGGAGGAGGAGGAGGAGGACTCTCCCGGAGTCCATTCTGACCCGCTTTCCAACGCGGATCCAACCGTGGCGACGAGAAGCCTCCTGGAGGCCCTCGGGACGAAAAGACGCCAGAGAGGGCCGCCAGCGTCTCGTCCGGCCCGCCTCCCCAGACTCCCGACGTCATGATCGTTTCATCGCGTCGACCCATCCCTGGGGTCGGTGTTCTTCATTCCGACTCGTTTGTGTTGTGGATGCCACGACAATGGACACCCTAACAGTCCTATCGTTGAATTAGAAGTGTGCTTTAAATGTCGGAAAATGTTCCAAACATGTTTTAAACATGTTAAAAACATGTGTTTAAAACATGTTTAACACATGTTTTGGACAAATGGAGATTATTTGGCAACATGCTTCCTCTCCATTGATCGTCCTCCACAACGTTTGCGAACGGTCCCGAGGACCGGAGGGCCCCGAGAGGCCGCAGACACCTCTGCCGCGATTTTGTCGAGACGCCGCACGTCCGGGCCCGGCAGAGGGCCGGCCCTACATGCGGCCGAGTGCAGTTTGGCTTTCGGAGCACAATTCGTGTATCAGGCGGCCGTTCGGGACGATCGGGGGAGCCCCAGAACGCCGTCGGCGAGGCGCAGGTGCTGGAAAACGTCCCGAGGCTGGAAAACCGCCGAGAGAGAGCGAAAACCTCCGAAAACTTCCGAACCTCCATGTCGATGGAAAACCTCCGTCTCGACTTTTCGGAACGTCTGGGACTGGCCCGCCTCCGAAGGGCCATGCCCCAAGCGGGGCGGGCGGCGGCCAAGCCCTTGGGACCAGTCCTCCTGCTGCTCCTCCTCCTCCTCCTCCTCCTCCTCCTCCGCCTCCTCATCCTCCTCCTCCTCCTCCTTCTCGGGCTCCTGCTCCTCCTCCTCATCCTCCTCCTCCTCCTCCACCTCCTCCTCCTCCTCCTCCTCCTCCTCCTCCTCCTCCTTCCTCCTCCTCCTCCTCCTCCTCCTCGGGCTCCTGCTCCTCCTCCTACCCCTCCCCCTCCTCCTCCTCCTCCTCCTCCTCCTCATCAGCAGCAGCACAGCATCCTCTTCCTCCTCCCCTCCTCATCATCATCATCATCAGCATCCTCCTCCCCCTCCTCCTCCTCCTCCTCCTCCTCCTCCTCCGCATGCTCAGCATGCTCCGCCTCATCCTCGTCCTCCTCCGCCATGACCTTTCCTCACAGAGAACGCCTCCCTGTCGCACCCCGAGACGGGTCGGTGGGGCGGGCCGGGCGTTTCGCCTGAGACTTCCGCACCACTTATGATCGGGAAGCTTCTAGTTCTCAACAATTTGATGGATGAAGGATGGGCCGTTTTCAAAATGTGGCTCCCGCCTTAGCGCCGCACGAATTCGTCTTAAAAGTTTGCCAGAGTTTCACAGATGGAGGGCGGGCCGCTTTCAAAATGTGGCTCCGGCCTGAGCGCCACGCACCTTCGCCTTACAAATTCGCAAGAGCTTCACGGATAGAGGGCGGGCCATTTTCAAAATGAGTTCCCCAATCTAGCGCAGCGCACACTCGTCTGAAAGTTTGCAAGGAGCTTCACTGATGGAGAGCGGGCCGTTAACATTTAGCTCTCGCCTAAGCGCCACTCACATATGTCTGAATAGCTTGCAAGAGCTTCACGGATGGAGGAAGGTTCTTTTTTCAAAGCGTGGTCTCGCCTTCGGGCCGCACACATTCGTCTTCACAATGTACGACAGTTTTAAAGACTATTATCGCTGACGTCCCAGACATGGTGTTCTGGCACGATGTAAGATTGCCAGGACGCGACAGTCACGTTGAATTGCGGTGTTCCAGTCCCAGAAATGGTGTTCGGGCACGACTCCCCATATGTGGCGCTTCAGGCCTCGAACCAATAGCGAACACTCATGCCACATTCATCTGTCAACGCCTACCCCTCCCCCCAATGTTCAAAGTTGGCGGTGGGTCTGATGAGTTGCACCTCGACCGCAGTCTCCCCCGCGCGTGCCAACTTTGAGTTTGCGGGGAGGAGGAGTGTTCAGTAACTGTTTCCCTCTACCGTTTGGAATGGTTGCAGATGTTCAGACGATTGTCTTCCAACGGAGCACTTCCAGCAGTGAAAACACATCTTTGTCTGGACCTGTGAAGAGGGAGCCTGGAGGGAGGGTTCATTGCAGCACCATTGGTACGCGTCTTGGATTTACACTTGTCTTCCTCCTCCTTCTCATCCTCATCCTCCTCCTCCTCCTCATCATCATCATCATCATCCTCATCCTCAGCCTCATCACCATCATCATTATCACCACCACCACCACCATCATCATCACCATCATCATCAGCCGCATCATCATCCTCATCATCATCAGCATCATCATCATCAGCATCATCATCAGCATCATCATCAGCATCATCATCATCATCAACATCATCATCATCCGCCTCCTCCTCCTCCTCCTCCTACTCCGCATGCTCCTCCTCCTCCGCATGCTCCTCCTCCTCCTCCTCCTCTTCCGCATGCTCTGCATGCTCCGCCTCCTCCTCCTCCTCCTCCTCCTCCTCCTCCTCATCCTCCTCATCCTCATCCTCATCCTCCTCCGCTTCCTCTTCCCTTTCCTCCTCCTCCTCCTCCTCCTCGGCCTTCTCCTCCTCCTCCTCCTCGCCCACTGACATCCGCTGCCGCCAATTCGGGAGGCCGAGATCCGAAGGCCCCGGCAGGCCCCCGAGCAGGGCCGAGGCGCCCACCGCGGGCAGCAGGGTCTGCTCGGCGGCCACCAGCAGGGGCCGCGCCGGCCGGTCCGTCATGCTGCCTCGCCCGGGCCTCGCGGCCAGATCGGCCTGCTCCAGCTGCGGCGCGAAGCCCTGCCGGGCGGGCCACACGGGTCGCCGCGCTGCCACAATAGCGACACAAAAAGCTGCACTAACATACAACATACACTTTCGGCGCTCCCCGCGGATTTCTTGGATCGTCGCTGGCGGCGCCTCCGGCCCTTCCCCTGGCGCGCTCAGCGCGCCAGGGGAAGGGGGTCCAGCGCCGATCCAAGAAATCCGCGCGGAGCTCCAAAATCTGATGTTTATGAATGTGTCTCCTCTTCGACTGCTCCAACTGCGACGCGAAGCTCTGCCAGACCGGCCGAGCCCAGACCCTGTCGCGTCGTGAAAAGGTCACGACAAAGGTTTAGACGATGCTCGGCCTCCCGAGGCCCTCACCGGGCCCAAGACCATCCAAAAAAATAATCGGGATCCCCTGGAAGGGCCCCAGCTGCAACGCGAAGCCCTGCCAGGTGGGTCGGCGGGTCGGTATAGACCCCAGTGGGTACTACCCCCCCGTGGTCCACAGGCCTACGCTAGGGCCTAGGGCAGGGCCTAGGGCAGCCTACCCTAGGGTGGTCTAACAAAAGCCTATCCCAAGGTCCTAGGGGCAAGCCTAGGGTAGGCCCTGGGGTAAACCCTAGGTGTAGACCTAGGTGCAGGCCTTGGGGCAAGGCCTTGGGGCAAGGCCTAAGAATAGAGCTGGGGCCAAGTCAGCAGGTGGATCGAGAGCGTCGCTTACTCCCACCACCCCTCCCACAACATAAGAATCAATCAATTGTGGCACAACTTGGTACTGCATAAGCCTGAGGGTGGGCCCTAGGGTGGGCCAAGGGTAGGCCTGAGGGTAGGGCCTAAGGTTGGGCGTATGGTCAAGTTAACCAGGTTGAGCGAGGCCAGGAGGGCCCCGCACACTCTCATTCTCCCTCCCGCAACGTAAGAATCAAGTGGAGCACAACTTGACACAACTTGATACCAGCATTCGAACGCGCTCCTACCTCATAACCGGCAGAAGCCACAGCGCGCGGCACGGCTTCCCGCGACGTGGCGAATAGAAAACTATTACGCGGGCCGCGCAAGAGCGGGAGCGGCAAAACTTCCGATGGGCGCGGCGACGACGAAGCGTGCGCCGCGCGGACACAGCATTGTCACTTTCACGCGCAAACTGCGCACCGCCCGGGCGAGGTCAGCATTTCGCCCGCTCTCGCGCGGCCCCGTTGCCGCTGTCGCCTTCACGCGCTTCGGCGAGCAGACTATGTGCCGCGCCCACGTTTGAACGCCACTTCCGGGCCAGATGCGCACGCCCCAAAATTGGCGAGTGACGAATATGCGCCGCGTCGAGGCGGGAACGCCACTTTCAAGCGAAATCTGGTCGGCGTCGGGGCGGGAGCAACATTTTCGCCCGCCTGCGTGTCGACGAAAGCGCGTGCGAAAAATGTGCGTCGCGCCCACGCGGGAGCTAAAAGCTCTCCAGAAACATGAGCGCGGCGCCAGGGCGAGAGCGCTGTTTTCTGCCTCTGGCGCGGGATGTGCGCCACGCCCCACTCCTGCCGGACATTTTGCAATATGGGCAACAGAATGTTCACACTGACACAGAACATGTAGACTTTGCTTTTTTCGGCGGTGGGCAAACCTCCCATTAGTAAACCTCCCTTTAGTGAAAACGGCCTGGGACCGAAACTGACGTGCCTGGACCCACAAAAATGACGGCCGCGATGCCCTCTCGCGAACCGAAAACGGCCAATTCGCTAATCGACGTGTCAGGGTAGGAGGTCTATCCACCTTCGAGCAATACGAGCGACATAATGTTCAAATTGAAACAGAAAGTGTAGATTTTGATTTTTGTTTATTTCAGGTGTGAGGACCCAGCCCCGGGCCCCATCGGCCAACTACGGTGAAGACCAGGGATATAAATATATATATATATATATATATATCTATATATATACACCAATGAATATAAGCATAGGCACAGGTCTCGGGGTAGGCCCTACAGGGGGTGGGCCAAGATACGCCTCATTACCCACCGTGTTCGGTCGGGCAGCTGCGGTGAAGACCAGGGATATACACCAACAAAGATAAGAATAGGCATAGGTCTCGGGGTAGGCCCTAGGGGGTAGGCCAAGACACGCCCAATCACCCACCTGGTTCGGTCGGGTCGGGCGGGCGTAGCACTGCAGTGTGATGCAGATTCGAGTTGGAGCGCACGGCACCCAGGATGGTCGTGTCGGGACGGCGACGGCGACGGCGACGGCGACGGCGACGGCGACGGCGACGGCGGCGGCGGCGGCGGCAGCGGAATCGAGTCTGATTCGTCGCATCGAGTCGGCTCGATTCGGCAAGCACCGAAATTGCGTTTTGCATTCGAACCGGCGGAATCAGAAGGACCCCTCGAAACGCTGGTTCAGGAACGCATCGTCGGGCAACCGACGGCAACAAGAAACAGCCACGAGCACCACGAGTGCGACGGGGCGGGCGACGAGTACGGCGACGAGGGGGCCCCTGGCACGGAGCCAGACGGCCCTCGCGACAGTCTATGAGACCTCCGGCACAGTCCTGCGCAAGCCTCGGGGCTTGGGCCCCACGAGCAGTTCTCGGGCGAACCTTTGGGTAGGCCCCTGGGATGAGCCAGGAATGGGCCAGGGGCCAGGCCCTGGGACATGGGAATGGGCCCGGGAGCGGACCCTCGGGCTAGGTGCAGGTGCGAGCGAGTCCTATAGGGACAAGCTCCTGGGGTAAGAAGCCTAGGAGCAGGGCCAGGGGGGGAGGCCTGCGGTGGGCCTATAGGGGCAGGGCCCAGGGGCAAGCCGAGGGCCAAGTCAGCCGGGTCGAACGAGTCCAAGGGCCCCGCCCACTCGCCCTCTCCTCCCACACACCACGAGAACCGAAGGTGGCACAGCTTGATGCCAGCATTCGAACGCGCTCCTACCTCGCAACCGGCAGAAGCCACAGCGCGCGGCCCCGCCTCCCGCGACGTGGCGGATAGAAAACTATTGCCCGGGCCACGCGGGGGCGGGCCGCGGCACAGAACTCCCGACGGGCGCGGCGAAGACGAGGCATGCGCCGCGCGGACACAGCATCGCCGCTCCCCCTCCTCCTCCTCCTCCTCCTCCTCCTCCTCCTCCTCCTCCTCCTCCTCCTCCTCCTCCTCCTCCTCCTCCTCCTCCTCCTCCTCCGTCCTCCTCCCCGTCCTCCTTCTCCTCCCCGTCCTCCTCCCCGTCCTCCCAGACTGCGGGGTGCCTGGGCGAGGCTGACATTTCGCTCTGCTCTCTCTGACGGCCCCGCTGCCGCGGTGGGTCTCGCGTGCTGCGGCGAGAAAGAACCACGCACCGCGCGCGCGCGCTGCAAAGCTCCACTGCCCGAGCCGGCTGTGCACGGACCCTCGGGCGAGTTGGCGACGAGCCGCCCGCTCGCGCGGAAGCCGCCAAAAAATCGTCGAGGGTGGCACCTGTGTGTGCCGCGTCGAGGCAGGCAGGCACGGCACTTCCAGGCGAGACAGCTGCGCGGCGCCGAGGCGGGAGCGACATTTTCGTCCGCTCGGGCGACAACGACGCTGCGTGCGACGAATGTGCGCCGCGCCAGAGCGGGAAGCCCAACTCTCTGGGGAAAACTCGTCGCGGCGCCGAGGCGAGAGCGACATGTCCGCCCTTCGCGCGGGCTGCGCGCCCCGTCCCGTTCCAGCCACGCAGGGAGCCTGGCACGAGCGCCGAGGCGGCCCTGCCGTTGCCTCCGCGGCGCTGAGGAGGCAGCGGCGGGGCACTCCGAGGCCTCCCTGAGTCGTGGAAGGAAAACCGCGACGGAAGGCCTGGGCCCTCTTCGGCATCCAGGGCTTCTTGCCGGGCCATCAGAAAACGGTGGGACGCACAGAGACACACTGCGTAGTACTGGATGTCCTCCTCTTGGAGGCGCGCGTCCGACCCGCACATCTGGTATACCCGTCTTGTAGCACATCGCTTCCCGAGCGGCGTGGCAAGAAAGCGCCCGCCACGACGCATGTATTGTGAGATCTCTCGGTGCGCGCGTCGCCCCTGGGGCGGGGAGGGGGGGGCGACGCACACGTAGCATTGGTAATTATGTTGGGGTGACGCCGAATCGGCTCTGGGACGAATCTCCTGACGGAGAGCGACGTGGGAGGGGCTCAGGCCCCTGGGGGTCCGCGCTGCGGAGGGGAGGTCACGACGTCGCAGGTCTGGGCTCCTGGCCCTCGCTGCCTCCTCGCCCCCCTCCTGTGTTGTCGGCTGCCCCGGCGGAGACGAGCGAGCGCCGTCGCGTCCTGCCACCTCAACCTGGCAGGGACAAATTCGGCGCGCAGGAACCAAAGCAAGCACGAACTCTCAGCACCGTAAGCAGTGCAGGCTGGGCCTGGGCGGAGAGGGAAGAGCCGAAAGACAGCGGGCAGGTGCAAGAGCCGGCAGTGTCTCCTCTCCTCCTCCTCCTCCTCCTCCTCCTCCTCCTCCTCCTCCTCCTCCTCCTCCTCCTCCTCCTCCTCCTCCTCCTCCTCCTCCTCCTCCTCCTCCTCCTCCTCCGCCTCCGCCTCCGCCTCCGCCTCCGCCTCCTCCTCCTCCTCCAGGAGGAGGAAGAGCAGGAGGAGCAGGAGGAGGAGGAGGAGGGCGGAGTAAAAGGGCGGAGGAGGAGGCGTGCTGGTGCGGGCGGGGCAGCGAGCCTGTCCGGGGAGGCGGCTGATGGTGTCCCAGCCCCAGGCCTCGGGATGCGCCTCCGCCGGCGATGCCAGCAGGCCTGCCGGGAATGGGGCAGACGCTTTGCCTTCTGCCACTGCGCTGCCCTGCCCCGTCCCACTGCGCACCTGCCAGAACGTCGGCCCGGCCCCCTGGGCGGCCGGGCGAGCTCGATGTCAGACATCCTCCCAGACCTCCGACGATCTGGAAGTTGCTCCATCCCAGCGGTGGTTCGCAGGTTTCGGTTTCCGGGGCCCGCTTGCAGGCCCTGGGACCCTCCAAAAACGGATGCGGGATGCCAAAATATCCCCCGTGGGAGGAGTCGAGAGCTCTGGGGCCGCAGGCTGAAAAATCGCATCGTCTGATGTCTGTCCCCGGGGGAGTCCACCCACGGAGGCGGCGGGGGCGAGGGGGCCACTCCGTCGGGCGACAATGGATTTATACATACCGCTTTCTGGCTTCAGGCGCCATCCACGGGCCCCGAGACCGCCCAAAAAATACGCAGGATGGACACAGTTCCCTCAGGATCCCTTTCCTTCATGGCGAGAGTTGGCGTGGGCTACGAGAGGCCGCTGGAACAATGACTGGTCCGACGCCTCTGCTCAAAAGGCGTCAAAGATGTCCGTCCGGTCGCACCCGGGGGCCATATCGAGCAGACGTGGATCTCGATGAGATGGTGAATCAAATGGTGGTCCTGGGACAAATAACCGTCTCTAAGCAAGATGGCAGAGCAGGATGACACAATCTGATACGTCCCCATTAAAGATCACACTGAAGGCGCCGAGCGGTCTTACACCATCGCTGGGTGCGTGCCTGAAGTGGGCATCTGCGGTGAAGATTATTGTCGTTGTTGTGTGTTCGTTGTTTGGTGTTGATTGTCGTCGTCTTCGCCCACGACCACCCCGCCGCCCGCCCGCGACCCGCCCGCGACCCACCCGCGACCCACCCGCGACCCACCAGCATTTGTTCGACGAAAATTCGGAGATCGCAGCGGGCTCGGTGAGCAATGTGTCGAGTGCCGCGCCTACGGCAGGTTCGACGCGGAATGTATAAAAATCGGCGCCTGATTTTCAAAGCCTTGCAAACTGCCGAAAACTCCCCGTTCTCCGGAATTGCGGGGGCGACGGCATGATATAATATCAGATAACCACCTGCAGATCTACCAATGTTAACCAACTTGGACCTCAAACCGTGAATTCTACCCGTATGTGTTGCGAAATCAATATGGAACCGCACACGTGGTGCCACATGTGTGGGACCACTTACGTAGTGCAAACAATTTCTGGTCGCAATGAGTTGACAAATCTACCGAGCGCGTAATCATCCCACAAACCCACCCACAAGTTGGTTTGCAAATCCCATGCGGCGGTGATTGCGATGACGGCTTGGCATTGGCTGGTGCATCCCTGCGGCCGCGCTAACCCGCGCAGGTTCGCGCGCGCAGCGGCCATCTAGTGCGGCGCAACCGACGCGGCCGCGGTGGCGCTGACCGCTGGGGAATCCCCACCGCGTCTCGCAGGCCGCGCTGGCGCGCTGGCACTCCAGTTGCGAGTCGGTGACTCGGGCGGGCGTGGTATCATGGCGACGTCGACAACGGCAGACACGCTGATGATAGTAACGATGATGGTAACGATGATGACGATGACGACAGCAAGGCCAATGACGGCACCAATGCTGGTCACGCAGATGACGACGATGATGGCGCCCACGCGTTAGCGAAGAAGGTTGTATAATAACGTCGACTTTCGCGCGCGGCCGACGGGCGCGAATGGCCCGCATGGTGGTCTTTGACTGGGGCCGTGCCCCCCGCCCCATCCCCCAGCAAGCGCGCAAAAGGCGTTCGAACGAGATTTGCACGCGCGCGCGAGAGGCCCGCTTGGTCGAACTTGCGGAAAACATTGCAAGCCTTTTGCTTCCCAAGAAAGTCGAAAGCGCAAGCCGAATTGTTTGGAAAAGATGCGAAGCCATATGTGATTATATGTTTCAGGAACATCGGTTTTGAAACCCTTGCAAAACTTTCAAATCTTGGATGGTTTCGACATGCGCGCGTGACGCCGCGCGCGTGTGGACGTTGTCTCGTTTGAAATCCCACCAGCCCTCTGGGCATCGGTTGTTTAGGGCGTCTCCTCTTCCACCCCTCCCTCTTCCCCTTGGGGGAGGGGTTTACCCCTCCCCCTACCCCCTCCCCGTGGACCTGGACGGGGGGGGGGGCGCGGGTAGTTAGAGCGTCCAAAACGGCCCCAGCGAGGAAGCCAAAATCATTGATGTTACTAGGGTTTGGGCACCATGTCCGTTTCCTCCTCATCCTATTCATCATCCTTCTTCCCACTCCCCCATCCATCCATCCATCCACCTCATCCTTCTCCTCCTCACTCCTTTGCACGGTTCGGCCGTCCTCCTCTTGCTGCCGCACTTCCCTGATCACCTCAACTCGCCTGGACATCGTTTCTGGGTGGGCTGGTGGGGATACGCGAAGCGTCTAGCATATGTTGAATCTAGATGGCCGAATGTGCGCGCATGATGCGCTTTGGCGGAGGTGAGGGAAGGCGGGGGGGTGCGATACCTGTTGGGCTGAGCTGGCGCGGCTTCATGTTTAATTTTGTTTCGTTTAAGACAAACAATTGTGGGGCAGGATCGAATGTCAATTGTGCACTTCAGAAGATAGCGAAAAATCCTGGGGACTCGTAGATCAGACACCCTTTGTAGACAAGAGACTAAACGTGGTGCAATCTATGTGGTGCAAGCTATGTGGAGCAAGCTGGGTGGCGCAATCTACGTGGTGCAATCCACTTCGACTGAATCTATGTTGTGCAACCGACGTTGTGCAATAGATCATGAGCAACGCCTTTTGTGCAACATGCGTGGTGCAACCGAAGTCGCGCGATTTGCGTGATGCCGTATATGCGGCGCATCCTATATTGTGCAATCTACGTGGTGCAAAGTATGTGGTACAGTCTATGGTGTGCACTATGTATTGTGCAAACGTTGATGTGCGATCTGCGTGGTGCAATTTATTATGGTTCGCAGAGAATTCTCCACTCCACTGCTCGCGCAAACATCCCACCTACCAACCCGCAACTTGGCTTGAAAACCTCATGCGGCGGCGATTGCGATGACTGCTTGGCGCTGGTTGGTGCATCTCTGCGGCCGCGCCAGCCCGCGCATGTGCGCGCGCAGCGGGCAGGTAGCTCGGCGCGACCGACGCGGCCGCGGTGGCGCTGACCGCTCGGCACATCCAGGCGGGCATTTGAATACGAGTCGGTGACTTGGGCGGGCGCGGTACCATGGCAACGTCGACACTTGTAGGCACGGCGGTGATGATGATGATGATGATGATGATGATGATGAGATGAGATGAGATGAGATGAGATGAGATGGTGATAGTAACGATGTTGATGACGATGCTGACAGCGACGACGGCACGGCCAGCGACGGTGCCGATGCCGACCACGCCGACGACGATGACGGCGTCTTCGCGTCGACGATGAAGGTTTGGAAGGGAATACGAAATGCGCGCGGCAGGCGCCAGAGAGTGGATCGCATGGTATTAGTTGACAGATGTCGTGCCACCCCAGCACGCGCGCAAGGGCGTTCGAACGACTTCGACATGCGCGCGCGAACCCCGCTTCGCAGCAGGTTATGAAAACGTTTTTTTGTTTATTTTATATTTTGGTGTGCTCCAGAATTCGCAAGAACGCGCGCATGTTTCTGTTGGAAACCAGTGTTGCGAAACCGCGTGTGTGTCGCATGTTTATTGGACACTCGATTTCGACATTCTTCGGAAACCGAAGGTGGTTGAAGGATTTCGGCATGCGCGCGCGGCGACGCTCGCGCGCGCACATCGCCCCATGTTTGGCAACATATTTTCGCGACGGCACGCGCGCAATGGCGTTCAAACGATTTCGACATGCGCGCCCGCGAAGCCCGTTTGCCAGCATTTGTTGACAATGGTGAAAAACGCATGGTTGTCTTAAGAATTCGCAAGAACGCGCGCGCATGGTTGTTTTGAAAACTCGTGTTGCGAAACCACGTGTTGTTCGATGTGTTCTTGGACACTCGATTGCGACATCCCTCCGGAACCGAAGGTTTTCGATGGATTTCGGCATGCGCGCGCGACGACGCGCACGCGCGCACCTTGTCCCATCTGTTGCAATGGATCCTTGGAAACTTATAACTGTTGGTAAACGACTGCGCGTGCATCGTATATTTTGCAGAGGATGGCGGGGGGGGGTGCGATACCGGTCTGGCTGGAATAATACGAGTTCCCAAATAGGAAGGACATTGGGTCAGAAATCCTATGCGTGTTGCATCGCTTACCGGGGGGTCTTTAACCTCGGGGGGGGACGGTGGTAGAACCTATCTCTTTTTCTTCTGAAAAAACGAAATCACCAACGCTAGCAATGAATTGTCAACCCCACTGCTCGCGCAATCACCCCACCCACCCACCCGCGTCTTGGCGTGCAAATCCCATGCGGCGGCGACTGCGATAACGGCTTGGCGTTGGCTGGTGCATCTCTGCGGCCGAACTAGCCCGCGCAGGCTCGCGCGCGCAGCGGCCATCTAGTGCGGCGCGACCGACGCGGCCGCGGTGGCGCTGACCGCTGGGCACTTCCCAGCGGGCACTTCAGTGCGAGTCGCTGACTTGGGCGGGCGCGGTATCATGACGACGCCTACAACAGTAGACGCGATGATACGAGTAGCGATGGCGGTGGCGACGGTGGCGATGGCAAGGCCAACGACGGCGCCGATATTGATCACGCCCGCCGATGACGATGACGATGTCCTCGCGTCGAGTACGACATGCGCGCGCGGCCGACGGGCGCGAGTGGCCCGCGTGGCACTACTTGAAACAGATCGTGCCCGCCCCCCAGCACGCGCGCAAAGGCGTTCGGATGACTTCGACATGCGGCGCGAGAGGCCCTTTTGGCAGAATTTGATGACAAGGAAAACCATGTTGTTTTTTCCAAAGAATTCGCAAGAGCGCGCGCGGGCTTTTTCTTGAAACCGATGTTGCAAAATCATGTGTGTTGTACACGTGATCGGGACAGTCGTTGTTTGACA